CCAAAACCATTGTTTATCATAATACTACAAAGAAACAAAAAACAATCCGAACTATTCAAAAACCAAAAAGAAGATTAATTTTTATATTAACAGACCACTCCAATAACAGTTACAAAAATAATAACAGCTAAAAATGAAAATACACCAGCTGAACGTGGATTGATATCTGGATGTCTTGTTTGATAAATTTTAATTAGATTCAAAACCGCTATTATAAACATAAAACTTGTATCAAATTGAAAATTTTGTCTTGATGGACATACATGATAACTAAAAGAAGATAGTCTACTCTTAACAAATCAATTGAATTATTATTTACCATGAACTTAGAATACCTTCCATAAACAAACCAATACCCATTGCATAGAAGAGACCAAAGTGTTGTGGAATACCATATTCCTAATTAAATAAAATGAATTTAAAAGAAATTTTATCGTCCAAATATTTAACTTTACTTTGGGACTATTTATAAAGAGCGTCGGACAAAAGTGGAGAACAAAGCAATCAATCAAACGTTCGAATTAAAACTAGGAACAGTAATGGAACTGGTACCGATTATTGGTGTGTCTTATTAACTTTGTTTTTGCTCGCAGTATCTTATATAGAATGTATAATGAAACTTTGTTCAAAGTCGACTATGTCAAATATCACTGTATAGTGTGACAACTCGTCAGTCTAGTTTTGGTATGGATTCCAGATCGATCGATTCGATCTAGGCTAATCTTTGGACGTCAGCATGATTGCTATAAATTTTTTCACGAATTTCCACGAACGTTTGATGTTAAATGAGTTTAAGCAGCTGTTTTAGAGTGTTTTATACAGAAATTCTAGTGCTTCATTTATAAATGAATAAAGTATATCAATCATGCCATGTATGTCTTGTTTTTTTTTTGTTCTGATATCTAATTAGTAGAAGACTCACTTTTTACTAAATGCCGAGTGTTCGAAAGCATTAAAATCTAGTAAAAAGAGTATTGACAAGAGCTGATTGTGATTATAAGAATTCAATAGAATGTAATTGAGATGTGTTTATTTTGTCTACGTGTTTAGTTAACAAAATCTAGTTCAATAGACCAAACAGACAGTACAGTCGAACCACTGAGCTATTTCTCAGGAAAATTTCTAACATATCACAGCCTGAGAATAGTTAGGATTAAGCCAAAATCGGGATCAGTCTGGACTGAGAGAAAAAGGAATAGTCAAAGAAAAAAAATTTTCGACCAAACATCCTTTATAAATGACCTGTTTGCCTATTGTTGGATATTTCGTAAGAAATCGAGCATAAGCTTTAT